CGGCAGGGCTGGAAAAAGAGTTTGTTAGTTTCTGTCGGAGAAGCAGGGGAGAAGGAGCTAGGGAGGGGGGCTGGGATTGTAGGGCCCAGCCTCCCCCCATCTCAAGGGGGGGCCTGAGGCCTCCTGGCCCCAGTTCCTGGAACCAGATTCCATCTGCGCTGGGCTGTATCCTGGAGGAGCAATAAACCTCCCTCCCTCCGTTCTACTGGCTGGGGGGGGCTGGGATTGTAGGGCCCAGCCTCCCCCCATCTCAAGGGGGGGCCTGAGGCCTCCTGGCCCCAGTTCCTGGAACCAGATTCCATCTGCGCTGGGCTGTATCCTGGAGGAATAAACCACCACCCTCCCTCCGTTCTACTGGCTGGGGGAGTCTGTTCGTGCCACTACGGGGACCCAAGGCGCCGTCACAGGGTGCACAGGGCAGGGCTGGAAGGGGGGAACCTCAGGAACCAGCTGAGTGCAGCCCCCTCTCTGGGAGCCCCGCAGGGACTGTGCCGACTGTCAGGCCTTCCAGACGGGGCCGCTGAGCCAGAACTGCAGCACCGCCTGCAACCACACAACGGTGACAGTGCTGCCCCCCTCCACCGTGGACCAGCACTGGTGCAAGGAGAAGACTGAGGATGGGCGGATCCTGATCTTCCAGATTGAGAGCACGGAGGGGAACATCGTCAAACTGAGGGTGAAAGCCAAGGACGGTGAGTACAAGTGGGGAGCCGGCTGGGGCTGGGGGGGGCTGTGCAAGCAGGGAGGGGGAGTTACCCCTCCAGCGGCTGCTGCTGGATCGCCCCAGAACCCTGAGATGTCCCAGCCGGGACTGGGGGGCGAGGGGGAGAAACATACACACAGCCAGGCCTGCGCCCTCCCTCCCTCCTGCAGCCGGGACTGGGGAGCGAGGGGGAGAAACATACACACAGCCAGGCCTGCGCCCTCCCTCCCTCCCCCAGCCGGGACTGGGGGGCGAGGGGGAGAAACATACACACAGCCAGGCCTGCGCCCTCCCTCCCTCCCGCCTCCAATTTCTATTGTGTTGGTTTGGCGATGAAGTCACATACCCACCACAGCCAATCAGGTACCTAAGGAAAATAACACTGCCTGAGTGAAAACTGGATGGGATTCACAACAGATTCTAGACCACTAGGATTTCAGGATCCTCAGACAGGCAGAAATGGAGACAGAAAACACCCAAGCAGATCACAGCGTCAAGTTTACAGTGGAGATGAGGCAGGGCCACCAGGTCCCCCCTCACTGCTCTGGGTGGAGAATGATGGCTAGAGAGAACTTCACGCCCCAGAGGAAGGCTGGGGATTAGTGGGGCCTTCCCCCCACTCACACACTCGTCCCTTCCCCATTGATACTGACTGACCCGCAAGTCCCCGTGGGACTGGGAAGCCCTGGGATACGCGCACACAAAGCGAACACCTCTCCCTGGCGGACACTGCGCGCTCTCTGCTAGCAAAGCAAAGCAAAGCAAT